TCACTCGTTCACTGTGACGTAGGCGCGGGACTCGAAGCTTGTTGTCATGCAAAACTTGCTTGACATGGTGGAGCTCTGCAGCCAGGTGTTTACTGTCACAGATGCCTCGTGCTCTCTGAAACAAAGATTTACCCACGGTAGCTAACTGTGAAGGATGGTGGTGAGAATCACCGTTTAAATATCTATCTGTATGGGTCTTTTTTCTATACACAGTATGGCTCAAGGTGTTATCAGGATTCCGAATTACTAACACATCTAGAAAAGCTAAGGAATTGTTTGCCTCTAACTCCATTGTGAACTGAATTTTAGAATTTATAGAGTTAAGATGGTCTAAAAATGCAGTTACTTTATCTAAAGGTAGAATTGTGAAAGTGTCGTCTACGTACCGCTTGTAGAACCTTGGATTTATGGGAGAACTAAGCAGGGCTTTCTCCTCAAAGTCTTCCATGAATATGTCGGCGACAATGGGAGATACAGGTGAGCCCATCGCCACACCATCTACTTGCTTGTAGAACTCCTCCTTCCACAATAGGTAGCCAGATGTAAGGCAGTGTCTGAGTAATACTGCATATTCTACGGGCATGTTGTTTTCTTCCAGCCTTCTAGTTACAATTGAGATGCAGTCTTCAACAGGTAAGCATGTAAACAATGACTGCACATCAAAACTGACCATAGTTTCATTGTCTGCCAGATGTAGGTCTTTAATCTCGCTGACAAAATGGTAGGAATCCTTTATGTGTGCTCTTGTATGTCCCCTGAGTGGTGAGAGTATTTTCGCTAAGTGTTGAGCCAATCTGTAAGTTGGTGAATCGATTTGGCTCACTATGGGACGTAATGGAGCATTGGGCTTGTGTATTTTTGGTAACCCATACAATTTTGGTGATTTGGCGCACGTAGGTATTATCCATTTTACGTGCGCCAAATCACCAAAATTAGAAAAACCAAACACTTAGCGAAAATACTCTCACCACTCAGGGGACATACAAGAGCACACATAAAGGATTCCTACCATTTTGTCAGCGAGATTAAAGACCTACATCTGGCAGACAATGAAACTATGGTCAGTTTTGATGTGCAGTCATTGTTTACATGCTTACCTGTTGAAGACTGCATCTCAATTGTAACTAGAAGGCTGGAAGAAAACAACATGCCCGTAGAATATGCAGTATTACTCAGACACTGCCTTACATCTGGCTACCTATTTTGGAAGGAGGAGTTCTACAAGCAATTAGATGGTGTGGCGATGGGCTCACCTGTATCTCCCATTGTCGCCGACATATTCATGGAAGACTTTGAGGAGAAAGCCCTGCTTAGTTCTCCCATAAATCCAAGGTTCTACAAGCGGTACGTAGACGACACTTTCACAATTCTACCTTTAGATAAAGTAACTGCATTTTTAGACCATCTTAACTCTATAAATTCTAAAATTCAGTTCACAATGGAGTTAGAGGCAAACAATTCCTTAGCTTTTCTAGATGTGTTAGTAATTCGGAATCCTGATAACACCTTGAGCCATACTGTGTATAGAAAAAAGACCCATACAGATAGATATTTAAACGGTGATTCTCACCACCATCCTTCACAGTTAGCTACCGTGGGTAAATCTTTGTTTCAGAGAGCACGAGGCATCTGTGACAGTAAACACCTGGCTGCAGAACTCCACCATGTCAAGCAAGTTTTGCATGACAACAAGCTTCGAGTCCCGCGCCTACGTCACAGTGAACGAGTGAAGCCGGCCACAGTCGAACGTGTACCTGCTGTACTGCCATATGTTAAGAGGAGTCACTGACAAGATTGGCTATATCTTGAAGCGCGCTTCCATCAAAACATACTTCAAGCCGCTGAAGAAGATTGGTCAGTTTTTACCATCGGTCAAGTGTAATGTCCCTCTGCAAGATGCAGGAGTGTACAAGCTTGATTGTGAATGTGGTCTCTCCTACATAGGACAAACTAAAAGATCAATAAAAACCCGCGTTAAAGAACATATAGCTGATGTGAAGAATCGACGCTCCGGGAAGTCTGCAGTCTGTGAACACGTACAGGATCGCCCCCGTCACTACATCAGATTTGATAGACCGCAGATCCTCGCTAAAGAACACCGATTCCTTCCAAGGATGATTCGCGAGGCTATTGAAATCAAAAAACATCCTAATTTCAATAGAGAAGATGGCTGGGTGCTACCATCTGCTTGGGATCCTATAATAAATAAAATTAAATCCCAACCCAAGCATACAACTGCAAGACTTCAAGATACCATAAGTTCATACTGCATAGATCGGAACAAAAGTTAAATTTTAATCTATGGTAACCGCGGTTAACTATGACTTATGGACGTTGAACATCTCAGTCCTGCCCGTGACCATGAGTGCTGTAAAGCGTTCGAAACGTCGGGTAATTAAAAAGTTAAATATACGCGATAAATTCCGTAAAAACTAGTATTATTTCAATGTGTAGTGTTCGCGTAAATATAAGAAATCATTAAATATAAAAAAGTTTTGATGAATTACGCTGTTAAAATGCGGCATATACTCTCAGTATATACAGGTCCAAAAACTCATTTTGTTTGTACGGAACAGTGACTCCAACTGGGATTTGAATCAATATCCACAGCCATCGAGTATGCAGTATGCTTTACGCTACCCCATGTCGTGATTTGAGCAGGAGACAGTCCTTCTTGTAAGCTTTGTGCCCCGCTGTCCCCAAAATATGTAAAAATGTCCCGCTTTGACAAACAAAACAGTAGCAGCATGTAAGCCCTACTGTCACGCCCGTGGCCATTATTGTGTTCGCACCGTGCGTAACAGTTTTGACAGCGTGGGCAGCGTAGCTTAAAGTTCATTGGTGTGTCTGAAAAGTTACATTTTTAACTAGTGGGTTTGGTGGAAGTAATTAAACACTTCTAAACTAAAAATCACTAGTATACGAATTTTCACTAGTATACGAATATATTAGAAATATTTGTATTTGCCTGTCACTACTCTCGAGTCAAAAGAGTATAATATAATATATGAATAAAATACAAAAGTAAAGTAAAGTTACAGCCTATATACATCCTACTGCTGGGCACAGGCCTCCCCTCATGTCTGAGAGGGTTTTAGGGCAAGAAAAGTGTCCGCCGCGCTGCCCCAATGCGTGTTGGCTAACTTTACATGTCTTCGAAATATTTTTTTTCTTATTACTCAGACATGCAGGTTCTTCGCGATGTTTTCCTCCACCGCCGAGCACGTGGTAAATCAGCACCTAAAATTGCAATTAACAATTTCATTGGTGCCGGCGGGGATCGAACCCGGGTTACTCGCGTTCTGTTATACGAGGGTGGATTGAAAAGTACTCGGCCTAACCAAGAAAATAAACACATACTAAATCAGTTATATTTTTATTTTTCTACATAATCACCATCAAGTTCAATACACTTTTGCCACCTCCCCTTCCAAGCATTTAGACCGTTGAAAAAAAAATGATTCTTCCTTAGAGTCAAAATATGCGTCTACAGCTGCTTTGACCTCGTCGTTTGTCGAAAATCTTTGACCTCCCAAGTGCTTTTTTAGGTTAGGAAACAGAAAGAAGTCTGATGGCGCCAGATCAGGTGAATACGGCGGATGCGGTAACAGTTCAAAGCTACAGTTGTGAATTTCAGCCATTGACTGTACTGACGTGTGAACACGGGCGTTATCTTGATGAAACAGGACTTTTCTTCTGAGCATTCCTCGACGTTTTTCTTTTATTTCCTCTCGTAAACGACGTAGTAAGGTGCAGTAGTAATCAGAGTTTATAGTCTGACCCCTTTCAAGATAATCAATCATAATCACACCTTTTCGAGTCCCAGAATACTGAAGCCATCACCTTATTTGCCGACAAAATCGACTTAGCCTTTTTAGGGGGTGGTGAACCAGGTCTTCTCCACTGTTTTGATTGTTCTTTTGTTTCCGGTGTACAGTAATGAACCCATGTTTCGTCCATAGTAACAAATAACGATTCAAAAAATCATCTGCATCGGCTTCAAATAACTCCAAACAGTCGCGTGAAATAGTCAATCGCGTCCTTTATTGTTCAACTGAAAGCAGTCGCGGAACCCACCTCGCAGACACCTTGTGGAAACCCAACTCGTTGACAATGATGTTTTGAGTTCCTTCATAAGAGATGCCTATAATATCGGCTATCTCTCTAATTTTTAATCTGCGGTCTCCCATTATTAAATCAAGTACTTTTTTTAATATTTTCGTCAGTAGTTGACGTCGAAGGCCTTCCAGAGCGGGGTTCATCTTTCACACTCTCTCTACCATGCTTAAATTCTACTATCCATTTTTTGACGGATGAATATGACAGAGCACAATCGCCTAATGTACTGACCATGTCATCATGGATGGCTTTTGATGATAGTCCCTTCTTATGGAGGTACTTAATGACGGCACGCTGCTCGATTTGCTCCATTCGCGGAAATTATGTCCGATTACTTTGTTAATAAATTTATAAAATCACAACTAATTATCCCACACGTTTCGAACTTCACACAATGAACTAGTCTGAACTGAACTAAATAATATGGGTAGATTTGATTTTTAGAATTGAATGGATCTGTGTTAGGCCGAGTACTTTTCAATCCACCCTCGTATTTACAACGAGCGTTAACCATCTGAGCTACCCACGGCTCTTAATAATATATGGAATAAAATATGGACTAGTGAAATAACAACAGGGTTAGTGTTAATAACTATTTTCAAATAATTTTAGGTTTGGTTTTCCCTTATTTCGATTATTGAACATTTATTAAACATGTGTTTATTTAAAAATCTTTATAATTTAAGTGCTTCACGTTCTGAGGGAAAAAATAAGAGGTCTATGGTTTCAGAGACAATCCCAGTCTTATTTCGGCTTAATCATTAAGACAATTAGGTTAGACGGAGTGAGTACCTCAAGTATGTGTTAGCGTGGCCACATCCGGCATTATAAACAAATATGTGTAAAGTATTTTGATAGCTAATCTTCAAATAATTGTTCAGGGAGGTATCCACGGCAGAGTTTCCGCTACTGGCAGAGGAGTGTTCCACGGATTGGAGAACTTCATCAATGAAGCCAACTACATGAGCATGATTGGTGAGTGAAATTCGCTATTACTAAAAACTTTAAATATTTCAATAAATAACATTAAAAATCCTTAATTGTTTGCAGAAAAAACGTACATTTGCGATCATGATCATTATGCCACGATTCCGTGCCAATATTATATTTATACATTACCGGACCGATATAAAACTCTTTTTCGTGGGTCTTGAATATATTTACAAACTTATCTTCAGTTACAGAGTATAGGAGGACAATTATGTGTTTGAATGAATCATTATAATTTTTTTTTCGATGATTCATGATGTTTTGATGACTTACGACCTTACAAGTTACGAGATTTTATTATGAAACGGATTTTTTTCAATATTATTTATTTATATACCTACATTAAGACATTCCAAATTTTGCAATAGTTATAGATATATTATTAAAAAGGAATGTTATAAAAATGTATTATAAATTTTAACCAATATAAAAATAACACTGCCGTGCACAGTCAGTAATTGAATGAGATAGTTATTTATAGTTTTTACCGTGTTCAAGTGGCTCTTGAAGCCATTTGTCATGGTTAACTTCGCTTCACATTTATAGTTTTATACTTAGATAACTTTTTCTAGGTTATATTCTCTATAGCACACAGCTTTTAGCCTCCGATGACATCTCTATCATTGCCTCGTGACAACAATATTACAAAACAGATTTGAGATTCATGACTTACGAGATTAAATGCTACTACAACAGTGTTGATTCATCCAATAATAGACCGCGCGAAACATTTCTCGACCTCATAATAGAAAATGGACTGGTTACAATGCTAAGAGTGTTTTTGTACCTAAGTGTTTAAATTAAATTAGTGTTTAATGATAACTTATTAATGTTATCAAATATCATTGTGAAACAATGACGCCAGCATCATCTTCACAATGATAAAATTCCGACATATTATGTACCTACAATAATAAATCAACGCCTAGCCCAAACCCTTGGACCTATGAATTATATTTATAGTACCTATAGACAAGGAATATTTATTCTATAATTAAGGAATGTATGTTTAAAAAGACGAATTTTTAGGAATTTCGACAGGATCGAAAATAAAGAGGATTTATAATTATTTGAGACTAATTTAGTATGTAAGTAGGTAATTATAACCACTAATAACTTTTTTTAGGACTTTTCGAAACTCTCACGGCACAGGGAATAACGAGGATATTTATCTGTTAGGATTTATATTTCCGTAGATATAATAGATTCTCCACGCGAGCGAAGCAGCGGGCGCTAGTGCCTATATAACTGCATATTTTCAGGAACAACCCCTGGTTGGGGCGGCAAAACATTCATCGTGCAGGGCTTCGGTAACGTGGGACTGCACACATGCCGCTACCTCGTCCGTGCTGGAGCCACTTGCATTGGAGTCATCGAACACGATGGCGCCATTCATAACCCTGAGGGTATCGACCCTAAGGTATTAGACAATTAAAGTTTTCATATATTAATCTTTGCCCATATTGTAATAAATTACAGGCTTAAAAAAAGTACAAAGTTACCTAAAGGTGCTTCATCATATATTAAATATTGGTTAAATTACCTGATTCAATGACCTTGGTGATAAAGCAAAGTCAAAGATTACTCTTAACTTTACGCACTGATAACCTTTTGTTTGGTTGTCACATATCGAGTTCCGAATCATAATCCGAAATTATGAGTAGGTAGACTAGGGTGACACTACATTTTTTAAATCGGTTCAAAGTCAGTCACCATTGAAAAAAGTTATTTCAATTTTGTTTATGTAGGTATTTATAAAAGTATTTGGTAACTTGATGAAGTTGTCATTTAATTTCACAAATTCGTTACTCAACGATAGCAACTGAAGACAACGTAAGTACTGTGCAGCGCATAAAAGATACTGATAAATGAGTAAGCGTCCAACAAATTTGGGCAAGCGTAGGCATTATTTAAGAGTCTAAAATAAAAATTCTCACATGAAAAATAAAAACGCGATCGCATAGATCAGGGCTATGAAATAATGCTGTATTTTAGATCCTCACAAGTTGTCACAAGAAATGTATAGCAGCCTTTTCATCGCGCCACCAGCACTACAAACAGATGGCCTATAAGTAATTACACTATCTAAATTTTCGAACCACTCCAGTATGCATAATATATCAAACAGCTGCGTACAATAACACGGAGCTTTGGCCACTCCCTGGGCTGAACGCATATCCGCAGATTCAGCTTTTTCTTCCAACCGCCTAAGCTGAATAAATTATAAATAATGACTATATTCAAAAAAGCCCTGCCCTTCGAATGCGACAGCAGCGTCTATGCATGGAAACTACTGTGAAAAACAAATTTGCATCTTGATACTTTGGTATAATTATGTTTTTCTAAAAATTTTCAGTATCCCTCATTTCGTTCTATTATTTTTTTTTTCATGGTGCTTATGTTGAGAAATAAGCGATCAATTTTTAGGGAAAAATATTCCAACTGCACGCAATTGAAGCATGATAATCTGGCGACTAACTACCTTATTACTGCCAGGTGACACATTCTCGGAAAGGCCTATATTATCCGTGTACACCATTTTCCCCATCAGTACATAAAACACTGAACATGTGCCTGTCCCATTGTAGGCAGGATTTGCTATAATTCACATGCTTTGCTGGCGAATTGGCAATCTCAGCATCAGACGTCTCTCTCCCACTTATGAGCTGTTCCTCGTCGCCGGTTTTTTTTAATAATAATAATAAGTTTATTTTTTCCTCTCACAAATTTAGTAATAAATATAAACATACAACTAAATATTAATAACTTACAATTAATTTGTGCGAGACTGGTGTCCGTACTAGGATTCCCTGTATGACAGATCACCAGCCCCCACCTTCAGACCTTATAATCTAGGTAATATTAGGTGTATGATAAACAAGAGAAGAAAAAAATATGAAAAATGTGTGTGTGTGTGTGTGTGTGTGTGTGTGTGTGTGTGTGTGTGTGTGTGTGTGTGCGTGTGCGTGCGTGTGCGCGTGTGTGTGTGTGTGTGTGTGTGTGTGGTTTTATTTCATGATTTTAAGTAGTTCCTCAGTCGTTTCATAATCTTGACTTAGTAACCATAGGGTTACCATCTTTTTGCATTTAAATTTAAGGTTTAACTTAAACGAGATGATTATACCGCTATCCATCAAAAGTCATGACAAATTTCTGAGGTTTTTCATAATCGTTTCTCACAACACCCACGGGATGAGTCATGTATTATCTTAACCCGCTACCACATGACATTATAAGTGCAATAGTAAACTTAAAATGCTGTTGATATGTTGGAATGTCCCTGAAACAGATGTATGTATTAACGAACTTCTTAAGTTCAGCCTATAAGTACCTGAAATTAAAATGTGATGTCTATTTTTGTCCAGGTGTAACCCAATTACAACAGTCATTGACTGACTGTCGCATTTCGAAATAATACCCAACAGGTGCACAACTTGCATTGTATGTATTGTACAATTAATAAATAATTATCTAGTAGTATTATACTATAAACTTTTTATAAGGACTTAAGAATCATGTTAATAATTTTGGTTATTATGATATATTAGCGATCCACCCCGGCTTTGCACGGGTGTTTTTTGGATCTCGACAACAGCGTCATATACTGGGTCTGAGTTTTTAAACAATCCCTCTCAAATATGCACACAAAAAAATCATCAAATTGGTTGAGCCATTTTCGAGTTTTTGCGATACTAACCATAGAATACAATAGAATGGCTGTCAACTTTATTTTGTACGATGCTTGGCATCTCCAAACCAGATTCGCTGTGTTGACAGACTGAATAATTTTACACATTTTTAGACTTTTGATTAATGTCCAAGATCATAATTTAAAAAAAAATCGTTTAAATTTTAATACATATTAATTTGTAAATAGGGCGCTATTTAGCATTTTCTAAAGAAAATTACACAGCTCGTGTTGACATTTGTACGTGTGAATTGACGTGTTAGTGACATTTTAGTGGCTACGCGGACTCCGCCCACTCCCCCGTTCTATGATGTATGTATTATAATATTCTATGATACTAACGGACAGCAATTGATTATTATAACAGAGAAGATAATATACCTTTCAATGTCTTTGTTTGATTCTGAATCATAACTGTATAGTGGTGGTATAAGAATATCTGTTACCCTAGTGTGAAACTGATACATAGTAGGAAACAGATCCAGGCAATGGGCAGCAGAATTAAAATAAAAAATGTGGATGTTAAGGTGCTTGCCAACCATGGCAGTCAAAGCAAATATTCCCCTATGGTGGCGGCCTATTTTCAGCGGTGAACCTTTGATAGGCTGTAGTGGTGGTAAGGGATATTTATATTACCAACTGCAGCACCAATTGTCGCTCATAAGGAATAAATTGAGCCTATCGAAAGAAACATACGAACTAGTTTTTTTTTGTATTAAATTATTTTAATATACCACGTTTTTTGTCATATTCTTGCATTGTCATCCGAATTTGAGCTATATTCAAATTTTAAAGTGTACAGCTCATGTAGAAAGTAAGTTTAAAGTCAATTACTAAATTCCACCCAGAATGACAAGCAAGAAAGTGGCTTAATAATAACGTAAAAATACTGTTGCAGCATGTATTAACATCAGGATAATGAATGTAACGGAATTGAATTATAATTTCTAATTTCTTTCTCTGAAATACTTGAACAGATTCAATACATTCAAAGAAACCTGCTCATTTGACATGACTATACTGTTCAAATGTATAATTTCAGGCCCTGGAGGACTACAGAATTGAGAACGGCACAATTGTTGGCTTCCCTGGCGCAAAACCGTACGAGGGAGAGAACATGCTCTATGAGAAATGTGACATCTTGGTGCCTGCCGCTGTTGAACAAGTCATTCACAAAGAAAATGCTCATAAAATACAAGCCAAGGTAATTTGTTTTAAAATATAAGTAAACGTACCAAAAAAATATGTATAGTAAACAATAAAATAAAATATATGAATAGTAAACTGTAAGTATAGATTGGACAATAATTGATGAGAAAGAAAGTTTCTTCAATGGCAACACTGAAACATGCACCATGCCTTGCAGCAGCTTGGAGGCTATGTTCTGTGAATTTTATGAAAATCTAATGATGATAATGATATTCAAAGATTCTTAGACTAGAATAGTTTGAATAAATGACCCCAAGTTGTTCAAACCAAGAGGTTATTTGTCAAATTCGACACAGCTAACATTAATAATTAAAAAGAATTATCCTTTTAGACCAGAATCCAGAAAATGACCTTTCTCTTTTGTTAAAAAATGGGTAAATAATTAAAATTGAAAGATGAAACTCTTATAAGGTTAAATTCAATAAATTACAGGTTTTGGTGGTATTTCATTACAGTAAAATTATAAATAATGAAGACTCCATTTTTTGTAATTATATTATGAGTAACCAAATGTGTCGTTAAATATCAAAATCCGTTACGTCCGCTCTAAGTGAAACGGGGGAAATTGATGTTATATGTGTTTTGGTGTAAGATTTTATAATTTCTGCCGTTTTGTATAATCAGACTATTTTCTTAGGAATTGGCATATAATGTAATTTAAAAAACTAATATATTAATGATAGGATAAGCTAAAAAAGCGGGTTAAAGTTTGGACATACCGCATTTTGATGTGTATGAGCTGATTATATCGGTGTTTGAAAAAGATGATACTGGACTTACCTAAGTTTGATTGACATCATTGTAATAGGACATATTCAGAGAAGCTCACTTGTGGTATTTTAAGAAATACATCAGTATATTTAATTTTGTAAGTGAAACAATGATTTTAAGTGAATCAAAATATTTTATTTATTTAAATACATTCTAAAACCCCCTCTATTTCATAATCTTGCGAATTATTTATTATTTCCTCTTCTCTCTCTTCAGTTAGGTCAACATATCTGGTCCCATTGAAGTCCAAAATGGCATTACTACAGATAAAAGTAAACATGTAAATCTTGTGTTAAATGTACAAGTGCATTTCAAGTGCAAGGTCAACACCAGATATAAAGCAGAAGAAAAATTAACATTTTCAATGAAATTTTATTTAGCTATGAGTGTATGTAAGTAAGAAAACCACAAGAAGCAGATTTCTGATTAATAATTAATTAGATGGGTTAAGCAATTATTTCACACCCTGTTTTTAAACCTTGAACTTACGTTTTTTACTTCGTAATCCTTTCGGCCGTTACGCTAAAATAAAGTTTATTTTATATTATTTATAAAATTTTAAATTATCATTACTCAATAAAACGATAGTATCAATTTTCAAGCCGAGTACACGACCCTATAGTACAAAGTTGGTTACAGTACAATTAAACTTATCTAGGTACTGTGTTGGTGTTTTATTTACCTTTTTGCTTTTTCCGCGGCCCGTTTCTGTCTAGATATTGAAACAGTCTTTTTCCTTGCCTTATCTGGTTCCATCACATTTAACCTAAAACTGTTTTCACTCATTTTTTTTTCAAAATAATTAAATAAAAACTACGAGGGCAAAGTGTTTTGCTTCCGATAACTCATGCGAATAGCAGCGATCTTTGCGCTATACTCTACTCTGATTGGCCGGTGCGGACATGCTTGATATTGATAAACACTTGTCAAAGGAATTACCGGGATATGAAAAACTTAGTCGGTTTTGACCGTTATTTTCATAGACTTTTAATTTACTTACCTCATTTCTGTAAAAACGAACTTATTTAGATTTTAATTTTAAAGCGACAGTAGCCTAATGGCAGGGCGCGGACCGCGAACTCAAAAAGGTCGTGGGTTCGAATCCGCCTTTCTACTACTGGCGTGAACCACTCGTAACACAAGCAATTTAAGCTTACCACGTGTGGTTAAGGGGAATATTAGTAATGTTTATAGCATTGTTAATATTCGTTTAAAAAAAATTAAATTTGGCGCCATTAACAGTTTAATTTTGAGTAGTGGTGGGACTTACCGGATTTCGATATTTAACTACACATTAATATGCTCGGAATCACTTCCGGCTTAATATGTATTATCGTAAATCTTTAAGTTTTTATCGTAATACGCAATTCACACAGCCGGCAACCAAATAACAAACTTGATAAGAGATAATCTACAATCTCCGCCTTCTTGTGGATTATGACAATCCATTATAAATTACAACTACACATTATGACATTAATTGTGTAGGTATTGGTAATCAAAATTAAGTCATTTACTGTAAGTGCTTAGTTCAATTCTATTGCATTCAACAATTCCCTGATCATGTCTGCCATCCAAGTTACTAAATGGATTTATGCGATTAAAGTAAATGACATAATTAAGTTTATTCATCACTTGCTACTTTTACAGTATATATTACAATAACTAGAATTTTTATTATTTTTCGTTAAATATAAGGAAAATGTTTCGCCCAGGTTAGCTATTTATAATACAACAGATGTTCGGCTATGTCAAAAGAATTAAGCGAGTTATGTTCTTTGTTCTAATTATTTACTACATTTAGATCATTGCTGAAGCGGCTAATGGCCCCACAACACCAGCTGCTGACAAGATTCTCATCGATCGCAACATCCTGGTCATTCCTGATCTGTACATAAACGCCGGTGGTGTGACTGTCTCCTTCTTCGAGTGGCTCAAAAACCTCAACCATGTCTCTTATGGACGTCTTACATTCAAATATGAACGGGAATCCAACTACCATCTGTTAGGTGAGATTTCTTTTAGATTACTGTTATTGATTGTTCATGGGGGATTATTGCCATAGTTGCCACGCTTGGCGAGCGGGTTGGCAACCGCAGTTTTTTTATGTTATTGTTGTTATTAGGAAGATGCTGCTGCCCATCTCCTGCCTGTTTCCCTCTGTCGCCTCTTACGACACCCACGGGAAGATATGGGGTAGTGGATATTCTCAACCGCCACTACACGGCACTGGCCTATGTTCAGCAGTGGACTTGTGAAGGGCTGTAATGATGACTGTTATTGATATTGGTATTATTGATAAATACAAATATGTGCGCAATGCATTCACTTCTATCCATTGCATCATGTAACATTTGATACTAAATTGCATCATATGTTTTATCATATGATGCAAATTAATTAAGAAGATGAATAAGTCTGATTGACTCTTTGGTCTAGCGGTTGTAAACGCGGTTTCTAATCATGAGATTGCTGGTTTAAGTGCTGAGTCGAGCCAAAATCTGTTACTGGGTTTTTCTGTCGAGAAATTCTCAGTAACAGTCCGCAGGCAGGAAGTTGACGGTGTTGTCATCCCCGTGCCTCGGAAAGGATGTAAAGTCTTTCTCAGATTGGGTCGGATTACCTTCCCATCGAATTATGAGACCCAAGTGTAAGCACCTGTGCATATACTTGAGAACTATAGAGCTGGAATCCCAGCAAATTATGCTACGATAATGATGCTACAGTGTTTCGTATGGTGAGGGGCGAGAACTATAGAACCTATTTTTTTGTTGACAGTCTGACATTATATTTGCAATTTGATTACTAAACAAAAGCAAATGTAGATTACTATAGGCCACAGCATCTTCACCACTAGGTGGATTGTATGTGTGTTTGCCACTTTTACTTCTCTAAAAAAGAACAACTAGCAAATTTGGCTTTGCCACAAATTAACAGATTAATTATACTTTTTATATGTATGATGAAAATTTATTTTAGTTTGATGTCTGACTTTTCTGAGTTAATTTGGATAAACTCTCACAGAATTTTACATATAAAAGATAATGAAGTTATGGTAGCCAATCAGCGTTGATTTTAAAGCCCCATTTACATTCAGCCACTGCCACTGCTCCTCGCGCTGCCGGCAATACTTCCCTAAATACTGCCGTAGCAGGATCGCGGGAAGTGTGTATTCACACTCTGCCCTACCACTCACATCGCTTTCGGCTTTCGACTATGGCGGACGTCGAAATAATTACAGCGTCCGCGCTGTCTTCTTGCAATACAAAATTATGTTAATAATTTAAAAAGATATCAAGTTCAAAAGAAGATAGATAGATAGATAGAAAATTTATTTGCTTAAAAACATGGTACATAAGATGATCAATGACGTGGAACTGACATGTTTTGCCATAATTGGCATGGAAAAATGATATGAAATACAGCTAATTACACAAACCCGATGTTGCTTAAAAGTTACACACATTCTTTTTGAATTCAAATATTATGTACAATTAAATACTTATACAGATCCACTCTATTTGAATTCTTATACAGTAAATTGTTCATAAATTATTAATTGAATTATTATATTATTGTTACATAAATAATATTAAATATTATATGAGATTAGTTAAGCTATTATTATTTTATTAATTACACTTCAGTATAAACTAATTCGTAATTTTAATTACAATAAAATTATAATTTAAAAATCTCAGGCTATTATGCAAATATTACCTTTTAACTTATTTTACATTTTAATTAATAAATAATCAATATAAGTTACTAATCGTTTTTAGAAATAAAATGTCAATGTTCATTAATTCCTTTAACTAAATTTTATATTAATATAATAAGTTTGACGAATTTATAATTAATTATGTACATAGGTACTATGTTAACTCAAAAAGAAAATTCGTATTCGTAGAAGATGATGAATTGTGGTTTTTATCGTTGAAATCCCATATAGTTTTTTCTGATTCCAGCAGTTCTAAAAACTTTATTGTATTTTCATTAATCCACTCGAAAGGCATTTTGGTAGATCGTATTTATTTAATAACAGGACGGCACGCACGTCCGTTCATCCAGGCGCTTGTCGCGAAGTGAGCGATGGAGCTGAATGTGAACACACACTGCCGCTCGCGCTGCCCGTCCTTTGACTTCCGCACGAAAAACCGACATTTCGGGCAGTGACAGCGGCAGCGGCAGTGTCAGCGCGAGTAGCCTGTTTACATACTGCCCTGCTCACTGCCCTGCTCACTTCCCTGCCCAAGCGGGCTGAATGTAAATGGGGCATAAGAGATTGAGGGTAATTGACAGCCTTGGCAATTTCATTTAACTCATATATTAATATTGTTAATGAGCACAGAGACCATCTCATGGTAGGTGGATGCTGTGGACCATGGACATCTACATCTATCCTCGAGTAAGAATCAAAATGCAGATGCGTTGCAACCCCTGAGGACTAAGATGGAATGTCTCGTTTCCAGTAATAAGGGTATCCAGTTCTCTACACTCACCATACGAAATACAGCAGCATTGTGTTGCTATTTTACGTTGGTATTCTGTGAGAGTGTGGTCCTTCCACGATCGAGCCGACCCATTCATGCTAAAACCATAATATAGCTGCAGCGTGGCTCTACCACGTATAAATTGAATTAAATATATTGAATTTCATAGCTTCACATTTAATAATGAACATACAATTTCAATTTCACTGTATAGCGGTAGAGTAAGAATATCCAATACCCTATATCATACTGTGGATGGTGTAAGAGGCAAGGGTGGGAAACAAGTCATGAGATGAGCAGCCGCATTGCTCCTAATAACAAATAAAAAAATAAAAATAAACCACTTGACAACCAGCCTGCCAAGTATGGCAACTATGGAAATATCCCTTCTATTAGGCGATATACAGGGACAACCTTTGTTCAGCTGTGGACTTTGATAGGCTGAAACGGTGACAGTAATTTCAATAATATTTTTGAAAATATTGTTTGTCAAACAACGATTACGTATAGGGATTACAGGGCTGCCAACCCTTCTATATAATATAGTATCCTCCTTTAATCCAAATTTTATAATTCTCTAAAGTGTACAGTAGGCGAAACTACTATAGTTTATAAAATATTAATTTAAAACACACTACTTTATTGTTACGTGTGGGTTAAGTAGGTTAAGAAATATACACAGCACTCTATCTATTGTTCTCTTTTGGTCTAAGGTCAATATTATCATGATTATACTGTGTCTTCATTAACCATTATCCAAGTCATCGTGATAAAAAATAAGGTCCATAAACATAAATGTGTCTGTAATCTCTATTATTTATTTAGAAGCACGAGTCTATCTCATTGTAATATATTTTTGTTTCACACAGAATCCGTACAAGAATCCCTTGAAAGACGTTTCGGCCGCGTTGGAGGTCGCATTCCAGTGACGCCTTCTGAATCCTTCCAGAAGAGAATTTCCGGAGCTTCCGAGAAAGACATTGTTCACTCTGGTCTAGACTACACTATGGAAAGATCTGCAAGAGTAAGTTCTAGTTTAGTCTTTTTATCAATATAATATTATCCCATGTTAGTGCAAACAAAAAATAATACAAATTTTATTTAATATTACAGTAAATTAAGAAGTTTTACATTGTTTTTATTTACAGTATTGTATATGTATGTATGTGTATAAACATAGCCATTTTTTTAAATTTATTATGCTTTAATTAACTGTTCAAGTCAATGACTTTTATTTAATTTCTTTGTATTAAGGATATTTTATACTAAATTTTTTGTATAGAGAAAAGTCGTTTAAAACACAGCATTCTGGTTAGTTATTTGATTACTTTTTAATTCACGCTTTTAGTTCAAGATGCATATGAATTTCCTCGTTATGTCTACACTTTCATATATTGTAATAATTACGTCTACAATGCTATAAGCTACAAATAAGAATAGAAATGGACTTGCGTCATATTGTGACGCCTTAGCTGTCAATTTAAACCATTTATTTAGGGTGTGCATAATAATAACATATTTTTGAAAAAATATTTATTTACAAAAGAACTATCAACGAAGAACTTTTAATCTGAATCTAGCACTTCAATTTCACTTATCTCTGCATCACTATCTGTGTAGTCATCATTATTATCTTTGCTGCTTTCCCCCATAAAAATAGAACATGGATTTATGTATGTGAATTTTGTATTTGTTGTTTATAAAAAATATTTTTAAACTAAAATTATGATTTCAATGGATTTGGTAAAACTAACACTCAATTAAATAAGGTGGAAAAAAAAAGAGTTATTAATACACCAATTAATTTTCTTTGCTTACCCATGTACTTTTCAAGTGGCAATTTACAGTTCGTGGTCGTTAATGGACCTATTCTTAGTCGAATCACAGATTTAAAACCGTTTATTGCTATGAAATTCCAAGTCTGAAAGGAGACGGTCCGAAATTTTATAAAGCGTAGGCCTCGTTTTGTACAAGAAGGGAAATAAATTAAAATAATATATTATATCAATTTTGGTCATTCAAATCCACGAATTTGCCTTTACTTCAGTGGTATTAATACTTTATTCTTACAAAAGCTGCAACGCTAATGGCGAATGAATGTTGTTTTGACGTTAGCTGTCAACTGTCATGAGGTTATTGATCAATTTATTGACAAATATTTTAATTCTGAAATGCTGTGTTATTCTTATCATTGATAGTCTATCAGGTAGATTTATTATGTACAATAGCTAAAATGTCTCGAAACTTGGGGATGTGCATTTTGGTCTTAGAACAAGTAACATTCTTGTGATATTTGCATATCAACATCAATGCAATCCAGGAGCTCGGAATAAACAAATGAATACACTACCTACATAATTTCATGACTCAAGTCACTTGTCAGACATGACATTTGACATATAATTTTATAACTGGAAGGGCGCCATCTTGTAAAATCATCAAAAATTGGGATTTATTCTCTTATTTTATTTTTAATGAAATCCCTGAATTTTTAGCTTTTTTACAGTATAGTGTACATATTGGGCCTGAAATGGACCGACTCCAAGTTTTTACTAATTTTAAACTAAAATATAAATCAATTTTCTTTGGAGTGTCTTTTCATTAATTTAAGATAAATAGGTTACTTTTATGTTTGATTGGAAAACTTATGTTTATTTTTAACAGGCTATAATGAAGACCGCTATGAAGTTCAACTTGGGCCTAGACCTGAGAACAGCGGCGTACGCCAACTCCATCGAGAAAATATTCACAACATACGCAGACGCTGGTCTGGCGTTCTAAACTTATTTATCAATTTGAAGTATTGTCTGCATTTTATACATTCTTCATTAGTAGTTTCCCTGAGCTCTGAAGTGTAACTTTTAAGACATTATAATCACAGTATTTTTTTCTTTGTTGAAATCATGTGCGTTTTTTACTGTATGTTAAGTGAAGCTTTGTTAAACTTTTAAGTGAAAATATAATTTTCGATTTGTATCTTCTTGAATTTCGAAATAAACTTGTTTTACTGTTAGTTTTTTGTTATTTAATTTATTTTTAAAATTATTTTCCTTATTGAATGGATAAAATACCACAACAATATTTTTCCAAAATCAAAAGATGCGAATACTAGTAAAAACCTTGTTTAAATATAAAAGATAAAGTTACAGCTTATATACGTCCTACTTCTGGGCACAGGCCTTCTCATTTATGAGAGAAGTTGATGTTGTCCTTCACCGCCGAGCACTTAAAATTGCAACTAATAATTTCATTGGTACCATGGCGTGGGATCGAACCCGGGTTTCTCGCGTACTGTAAAATTTACAGCAAGCGCTTAGCCCCTGTGCTGCCATGGATTGTTTAATTATACAATAAAAATTTATAAAAAAAAATAATATTATTTATTCAATATTACTTTTTTATTAAAAAAAAAAAAAGAATATGAAAAAACTGGAAACAAAACTCATTAATTATTCATCATTAGCCTATCAAAACTCCACTGCTGAATATATTTATTTTGCTTTTCGGTGTTCAATATAAAGCAGTGCTGCCTTATAACTCGCACGCACGGGTTTTTTACGCTAACTCTTCTCGAACCATAAAGTATAGTAACTATCCTATACAGAAAACTAATTAGATTCAAGGGGCGCATCCTGCAAGCCCAACAGTGAATAAAAACTTGCAGCAGACACTATTAAGCGGTTGTTCGATCTTAGACATGGGACGAGTACTCGGTTTGGATTCGGTCGACGGATTCGGCCTTTTTTAGGGTTCGGCCGACCACCGAGTATTGACGGTCGAGTACCGAGTTAATTATATTCCAGAGAAAAATAAAAACTAATTTTTATCATTATTATTATATTAGTCATTGCCTACACTTGCAGCACCTAATTAGCACTTAATTCCCTGCTATTAATATTTATCGTATATCTATTATCGTCACTACGTTGCTAGTGATATGTTTTGCCAGCAACGCACAACAGTTTGTTGTGGTGAAAATTTTAGAGCACCTAATTTTATACTTGGCACCTAATTAGCACCTAAAAAGCCCCTAATTTTGATTTTTTCTAAATGCAAATTCCTGACTTTGCGTTACTAGCGAGACAACAAAAATAGTGAAGATTTTGCAAGCTTCTATTAATTTTGGCTCTCCGCTAACTAAACTAAGTAGATCTAAAGCCGTTGATGTAAGAATATTTAAAAAAATATCTTAAGAACATTGAAAATTGTTCGAGGTAGAGAGTTAGACAAAGTGATGAACTAAGCATTAGAACTTCATTAAATATTTCTAAAGTAATAGCCGAAAAGGATCAACAGGAACATACAAATAAAAGAATAAAAATTAAGTAGAACCTTGAAAGATATGCTAGCATTCACTGTCCACGATAATTTTTCATTTGGCCATCAGCTACCTATAAGTAGCCTCATTTACTTTTTGATTTATTAAACCGTTGATTTTATTAACCGAATGAACCTTTATGGATATCATTTTTTTGTATAGAAATAAAAACCAAACATAAATAAACATTTAAATTTGAGCACAATTTTTTTTAATATCCAACACCTCTATAGAAATTTAGTAAGATGATTGAAATTTACCCTAATGTGACAACCCTAACAGTTTTATATCGCTCGATGCGGCTTGTATGGAAAAGAGCGAAAATAGCTAGTTAACATTGCCCACACATTTTTCTGTAAAATTTTAACACTTAATAAAGTTTTGAAACCAACGCCAAGATTTCTCATATCTAGGTGGTGATGCTTATTGGAAGTCTATTACGAATTGTATTTGCATAAAAAATTAGAGATGGGCCGAATATTCGTTTCATATTCGGTATTCGGCATATTCAGCCGCTTTACCAAATTACAGTGGAGCCCCGGTAATCCGGCCCCTGACTAATGCGGCACCCCCTATAATCCGCCATCGTCTATTACATACATGTATTCGCTAATGCACGATTGAACAAGTTACAACTTGTACGCAACATCACTATTGTGCTCGACGCGTAGGGTATTGTTTTTATTCTGATTGTGTTGTTGTGTATTACGTATACGTACGTAGTAATGTCTCAAGCTCAGAAGCGAAAGCACAAAACACTGACAAAGAAAAATGTGATATTTTAGACCGGCTAAATCGTACCTAATGAATCTTTCAGTAGTTTAGCTAGTGAATACGGCGTAGGCAATCTACATTTATGACATTTATTTTGTACATTACTTACATTTGTTTGTACACAATTATTTCCTAATGTTTTGTATATTATTGGATGGTTTTTGGTATTTGTTTTTATAGAATAGGGTGACAAACGAGCACACAGTCCACCTGATAGTAAGTGGTTGCTGCGGCCCATAGACATCTACATCTATCCTCCATTAAAAATCAAAATGCAGATGCGTTATCACCCGTGAGGACTGAGATGGAATGCCTCGTTTCCAGTAAAAAGGGTCTCCGGTTCTCTATACTCACCATTTTATAGCATTAATGACGTTAATTTTATAATAAAACGTTATCTTTCTATTGTGTTGTTTAATTTACAAAATTTGACATACATAATGAAGTATGATTTGTAATCTTATCATTGGATCTGTGATTTGTCGGATTACAAGGTACTCTTTTGTAAAAAAAATTCGGACTATAGCGTGTCTTAGGGAGTACTCTATAATCCGACAAATTCGATAGTTCGACACTGCCCTGCAAAGTGTTTGTCGGACTACCGGAGATCTACTGTATTCGTATTCGGCCGAATATTCGGCTGAATCACCGAACATTCGTTAAAGTCATAGAGAATATAACCACTAGACAGCGTATAGGCAGATTTCTTCTAAGCATTCGACTCACTACTGCGGGCTATCTTTAGGGTTGCTCTTCTTAATAAAGGAAACTATTCGTTATCGATAAAATGGATTTTATCATTATGAAAAATACTCAAACAAAATCATATAAATAATATTTAATCAAAATCAATCAGTTACAACGAAAACATTTATTTATTATATTATTATTGATTTTAAAATGAATTAATTTGTTCTATTTATTTCGAATTAAAGTTTAAGGGTCCTGATTGTTCATTGTAAAAAATATAAACAAGCGTCTACATATTTATAAATTATGCATCTTGCTAATTCAATTAAATGATTTGTTGATTCTATTTCAAATTGATGAAAATTAATATACGGAAATCAATAATACCTAATCAGAGATTTTAAAACCGTTCTCATAAAATAATTGGTATTATATTTCGAAGACAGCACTTTTGAACCACTCTCATTGATCGCCCTCTTATTAAAAATTTTACAACGACGACAAATATCTATTACTGTAGTGGATCCGTACAATAACTAGTCTTTAGTGTCCTTTTGAAATTGTAAGCCGTTCTGATTTGGTACACCAATCTAACTAATTTAACTAGGTAACTATAACCTTTAACTAAGAAAAAAATACCGACAAACTGAGAACCTCCTCTTTTTTTGATGACGGTTAAAATTGGATAAGTATTTTTTCACAGTGTGTGAATTGAATAATCTTTTTTATTAATCTTAATTTTATTATTTTCGATATCGACTTTAAGCTATTAAAGGTAACAGTAAGTACTAATGTTTACGATAAACATACATAGGGAAAGAAAGGGATAGAAGCATTAGAATTGTCTAATAATAGGATGCGACTTTTCCAAAAGACATCAACGCGCGACTCAACCATGTCGTTATTTACCCGGCCACCGTTTTAGATAGACCCCTGCGGTGGCTCATAATCTGAATTAATCAACAATAATTTTCGTATTTTTTACTTAGCAATGAAAAGTTACTCCATTCTTTTTGGTCATCTTTCCTGGAATGTTTCCCACACCACTTCACCGCGCATTTTGATGCATTATAATTGCATACAAGTTATAAAAATTTGCATTAATTTAGCGTGCACACAGGTCTAACACTTGGACAATACTAAAATGGTTAATTGTACCATAGCCGATGCATAGGCGACAAAATACTAATAGTTTTCGGGCGTCGGGGCACTGTATGCGCAGTCAAGTGGTTATATAGTCTTTGGTTAAAGTAGTACCTACTCAAAGTGTCCACTGTATTCAAATTTACGAATTGAGTAATGCCCTGTCTCATAATTTTACTGTTGAAAGTTATAGCGTTATCTTTTTGAGGCACTGTAGATTTATTCCAAATTATAGCAAATAGGTATAATTACAATTATAGCAAAAAGGGTCGGTAAAAGTCTTACGGAACTTTCGGCCGTATTAAATAAAAGTAGTCGGTAAAATCCATGTTCGGCCCATCTCTATAAAAAATCAACGTGGACAATGCTGGCAACAAGTTCAGATATTTTACCCGTCTTCAAAATCGATCAAATGTTAGTTTAAATTTTAACTTATAATAAATTTTAAAAAAGAAATGGGTGCACACGATCATAAACATAGAAATATAAAAAAGTTATAGCAAATATTAAAATATACTAATGTCCCTATAAAAAATTAAATAAATTAAAATTTATGCAAAAAACGGGCAAAGTTGTCATGTTTCACGGTACATACTAACAAAAAAATTTTGGTAAGTACGTAAACAGTGTTGCCTTTATAGTTTTATTAGTTTCCAATTATAATCTTTAGCGACCAAACTTAATTAGCGCGAGCAATATGATTGGTGTTTTTGTAAATGATAACTTATTTGCCTGTAGTGCGTGCGTATCATCAACGACGGAGCGCGCGAGTTCAAATCTCGAGGCTCGAAGTGTAAGTAAATCGTTTTTACTTTTGTTTATTAGTGTTTTAACCCACATAGCAAAAAATAAATGA